GAAGCGGTATAGGGTCGTCTAATGAGTAAAATTGACGACAGTGATGGGGAAAATGAGGAAAATCGCTCAAGTTGGATTCTTCTCGAGCCGTGCTCGAAAAAAATGGATTTGAGGCGTATGAAATTCTCGAAGTTCCACATTCCTTTGCTCTGTGGATTAAAAGGGTAAGCTCTTTTAGTAATGTATCGAAATTCATATTTATGTATGTATGTACTAATTCTCAACAAAGCCTCAATGTTACTGCTCAAAGTAGGTTTTTCTACCTAATCTGTAAATTGAAAGGTGAAAGTAACACCGTTTCAAAATTTCGCTAGTTAGATAGTTCTCTGGGTGTTGAACAATGCTGGAACTCTACATAGGACTTACTTACTTGCTGATGAACATTACCACATGCTTCAGCTTACTTCACCAACTATTTTCCAGTGACACAGTCAATGAGATTTTGAAAAGTTGAATCATCCTTTTATCATTGAAGAAAATGAAAAGTTCAGTCAAAACAAGACCAAAATGCAAGATGTGGGCGTGACATTAAAACGACTCAAAAATTGGAATTTTTCTCCAATTAAACAGAATGTTTCATTCCAAAATTCGTTGTATTTGTGACCTTCACAGCCTAGTTTACCCTACAGAGATATTTTACTGCAGTAAAGGTGTTTTCGGTCGATCAAAATTTCTTGATCAATCGGTCATTGTTGATCCATGCTATTACCAGCTCTACTTCTGCTGCCATTTTCATTGGATATTTGCTTTTTTATTTTTAATGTACCCTTTCTTTGAGCACTGGTTTACCCTTTATTCTGTGTACTTTGTCGGAAAATTTTTGAGAAGAACCAAAACCGATTAAAGTTTGGGAGATTCAAAACATACCTCACAACTTTCGTTTCTTGAAAATTCCCATTTTTAAACGAGCCCATAGGCATGCTGTAGGGCCATAGATTTGCAGCTTTTCGTGAGTTTGAAGGTGTGTCTGTCGAAATTTGGAGGCCCGAGGTAATAAAACAAATGAAAAAAGTCATGAAGTGAAACTGTTCGACGTAGGTTACCACTGGGACACGTGGGTTTGCCGATATGGGCCCCTTCGAGTTTGGGTTCATTATAGAGGAGAATGGGAGGAATGGGAGAAAACAATCAATCAATATCTACCCAATTGCCGGCCCTTCTTGTTTACCGGCCCATACATGTTTACTGTCGATTTAACACTTCCTTTGAATTTCGATTCTCAAAGCTGTGCATAGCAAACAGGGCAAAACATGATCGTGCTCATTTCTACGTGTTCCATATGGCACCCAATGTCAGTTACACGCAGATCAGACGCGACAGGTCGTAACTTCTACCTCCACTGCCGACTTTCTTATCTTCCTGGAGCTCGGTTATGATTTCATTCTGTTATGTACTTTTTGTTTTAATTGTTTGTAATCATAACTATACCCGTTTTGACAGGAGAGTTTTTTTTTTTTACTTTTTCTTCCTTACTTCTTCTTATTCCATACGTCAGTTCTCGCCGTCGCGAAATTCGTTGGTCATTCCTGTAGTTTACCCTAAGAACTGTGAGATTGTTAACGGTCAATGGGAGAAGTTAGCTTCCATTTCCCGAATCGCATCGAACCTCTCATTATCCGTCTATCTTCTTGTTTATTTGTTTATTTGTTTGTTTTCTGCCTGTCAGTCAGTCAGTCATTCAGTCTGTCTGCCTGTTTGTCCGTCTAATCGACCATCTATCTACCTCTCTTTCTTTCTTTCATTCTTTCTTTTTTCCTTTCTTTCCTTTCGCTTTCCTTTTTTCCTTCTTTTTTTCGTGTGTTCGTTTGTTGACTTCAGTGCTTATTCCTTTGTTTGATTGTTTGTTTGATTGTTTTTCACCATCTCATATCGGTCATAAATGAATGCAATTAGAGTCAGGGCCCTTCAATCGTATTAAAAATCCTTGTTGGCTTCCTGGAAGGTAATACGAACAGCTCCCCGGTTCATTTAGTTGATTATTAAAGGCACCGTTCACGATAATTTAGGGGTATCCGGTATTCCACAGATAGTGATAGGTAAGGCCTACATTAGGACAATGGTAAAGCATAAAACGCGAAAAACAGCAAAAAAAAA